AGAAATTAAAAAAAAGTACCAACTAGAACTTATATTCTATATTTTATTCTTTATTGGGTGATTTTTGAAGCAATCCTAATTGAAATCATGTACACAGATGAAAAAATTCGCATCATGGGAAAAAAATCCTCGTTTCATTCACATTCACGTTATAAAACACACAAATATATCTTTGATTTTATTTAACAATATTTTCTACAGTTACAATTCGCAAAAAAAAAAAAAAAAGTTATACATTGTTTCGAATTTTATGTGTTTTACTGGAAATATAATATAATACATATTATATTTATATTCATACTTCATAATTTATAGAACACCTTTATTCTATATAATATACGTAATTATAAATATACTATTGATCAAATTATAACTGATATATTTCAATAATTTTAATTTCATATTTATGTGTAATCTAAAAAGGTACATAATTTTATTGTCTGAAGTCAACCTTTTTTTTTTTTATGAATAGTATCGTTAAATCAAAGAATATCCACTTTTAAATGTTTATTAGTAGTGAAGGGTTAATTTTATACAGATTGTATTTGCAACTTGCTACCCACAAATGTTTTGAATTTATATTAACCAATATATACTTATAGAGCTACAAAGAAAACCCACGAATATGTTAGATAGTTATATGTAAATAAAAGACTATTTTTTATATCTGTTATAATTTATCAGCGTGTTTTTATTTGTTTATGGTGACCCATTATTAATTTTGCTTAAAGGCATGTACAGACTATAACTACTCGTACAGACTAAGCAACATTTTGTTAAGAACATATTGTCGAGTGTTGGCAAAAAATTTATTGGATACAGATACATGTCAAAATCGAAATAATATTTATGAATCCACATCCGTCTGTTGAGGAGTTATTAAAAGTTGTTGTTTATTAGTTAACAAGTTAAAGGAGGTAAATTAATACTTAAATGGACCAGACAACTGCTACTACTAGTGCTAGTATTGCGTTCATCATTATATCTGGGGGTTGTGAATTTGGAAAAAATAAGCATTTTCTGCAGGTGTTTGGTAAGGATAAGGAAGTAAGATTAAGTTTATGAGTAAAATATTTAAATTACAAATTAAACTGTTTAACTTATATTTCATATTTAAATACCACAAAAAAAAAGTATTATACAATAGACTATCGAGAAATCGTAGTAGCAAGGTTATTGATGTTTTAAAGTGAACGGAACGTTAAAAAAGGTTCCATATCGTCATGTTATTATTGTTATCAATTATAATACGAATAATATTCATATTTCATATCAATCAGCCGTTTCGCATGTTCAAGATAAATCATTTTTTTCCTACGTAGAATCGGTAAAAATCTCAGAAAATTTTCGGGAGTGAGGGTACAACCCCCAAACCCTACCCCTAGTTGCGTCACTGGCTGCCCATGTTAAAAAAAAGTAAAAGATGGTAGCAGAGACAATTTTTAAAATATGGGATAAGCTATGGTTTCGAAATTATGTTTAAACGATGGCTGTTCATTTTGTAATTTCGTTACCTATGCTAGCGAAATATGATTTTAAAAACTGTCTGTATAGGGCAGCTCCTAAAATCTCAAAAAATATCTATTTTCCATTTAGAATGGACAACACAGATACAAACAATAAGCCACAAATTTCTTTGATACCATGCCGCCCGATGTTGACATGTATCCATAAACTTATTACCACTTGATAGGATACATATTGCCAAAAAAATGTTGCTTGGTCTGTAGATACCTTTAGACTAATTGCCTTTTAATAACACGTAAAAATTTAATTTACAATTATTTCAATATTATTAAAAATATTTTTATATACCTCCACGTCAAAAACAATAAAAGTGTAAATGATAATATCTTGACCACCAAATAACAATTAACTAAAAATATATCAAATAAAACAATTTAAACATGCATTGACTAAATTAATTAATACGCACATACATGTAATTATTGACACGTGAATAGATACCTCCTTATTAAATTTAAGTACATGACCAAAGAACAGTTTACAATATGAAGAAAAAATAGAAATTAAATATTCAACTAAATTAAAAAAAATATCAAAATATATGGTATACTTGGAGTTTACATAAAACATAACTAATACGACAGCTACTTTACTATAATGCTGTAAGAAAAACGTAAAAAGCTTTGAACTTCAGAGTTAAAAATATACTCTATTTCATGCTATATATATCGTAATGGGATACCTAATCATAACAAAATTTAAGATACCAATTATGTCCTTATAAATTGTATCAAATTATTAATAGTATACTAAACTGTTCATTATTTTTATGAACAACACAAAATACTCATAAAATGAAATGCACATAAGTTATAAATAATTTGAGAATTATAACGTCTATACTTAATATAGTTTTTAATTTGCGAAATAACTTTTACGAACAGCAAATATTTTTGTAACTTAGAAGTACTAATTATTAAAATTTAATAATCCATTAAACGTGAATGTAAAATATATTATACAATGTACATAATATTAACATCATCGTTTTAACTAATTATAAAGTTACGATTATTAATAATATTTAATCGTTTCTTACAAATTACAACACTAAAACATACCAAAGTATGAAATGAATAATATTTATTCAACAAAAAATCTTTTTAAAATTTTGTTTAGCGAATAAAATAGTATAAAAATAAAAATCGGTTGATTTATACCAAATAACAAACCAAACCAAAATATTTTATAAATAAATAAAATTAGTTTGTAATTACAAGTTTTTTTTTCTTTTTCAATTATATTTAAAATGATACAATATATTTTAAAAATAAATAATCGGTAAATATAAATAGGTAAAAAGATAAGATAAATATTTTATTATACATCAAGGAATTTGTTTAAAATAGTTTTTTTAATTCTAATAAAACCAATGGCTTAATCGTATTTAAACAATTTTTTCTAATTAAAAATTATAATACCAAATCGTTTATTGGTACAGAAAATAATTCAGATCAATTACACATATAAATACGATATAAATACATATTATTGCTGTAGAATTATATTTAACATAATTAAACACAATTTTCACAGTTAATTTTCATTTCCTCAAATACATTAATAATAGATTCAATGTTCTTATCTTGGTAATAGCTTGCAGAATCTTCGGTTACTACTTGTACACGGTACATTCTAAATTTACATCAAAATTTTGTATCTTTTTAAATCAAGAGCCGGTTAATAAAGAAAAACTTGAAAAAAATCAAATTTTAGAATACCGAAAATAATAATCGTCAAAAAATTATTTTCGAAAACATTTAGACCAGTATAACGTAAGTTGAGTAACCTATACATGAGCTATAACTGTATCTATAATTGAATGATCAATGAAATAAACATTATCGTGCGTTGCATTTAAATTTCGACACTACGTCTGGAAGTATAGGTATTCAATCCATCTGAGTAGATAGAATATAATGTAGTCATAAAAAGAGGGAAACGTGCTTCAATGACTATAAGCGTGATTCTAACATTGAAAAATTATCACGTATTGGTACTACTATACACTAGCCTTTTTTTTACGATCGGATTGAAAATTGATTAAAAAAAAAAAAAAAAAAATATTACATTAAAAATAAATGTTGTATAATTTATTACTTAATATATTTTTAGTCTCATATCTATTATATATGATATTCTATAAGAATTTACCAAATTGGCTTAACAACTTCAGATAAAATATCAATGTTAAAATGTCGATAAAATTAATACATCAGAATTGTTTTAAATAAACATAAATAATTTTTAATACGATTAGCATTGATTATAAGCATTTACAATATGATATTATTAATCTTAAACATTTATTTTCTTTGTAAAAATAATGAAAAAAATTGTCACTTTTTTTTAAATAGGTAATATTTTAAATAAATTATTATTTATTCGACTGTTACATTATAAGTTAATATTAATTATAGCAAAAGATAAAATATATTAGTCACAGATTATGGTTTTTCATACATAGTTTTACATAAAGCATACTGTATATTATCACGCAATGATGATTTAATAACGACCAAGTACATTTCTCATTATTATAATATTCTAAATAAATATTCTACAAAACTTAGAAATTTCTTTTATTTAATTTAAATTACTTTAAATTACTTTAAAATTAAGGATAATGTCACAATATAATGTAAATCTAGCCTATAGATAAATTATATTAAAGCCATGAAAAGAGGGACATTCTTAAGAGTCATTTTAATTTTCCTACTTTTTTTTATCCATCTATAAGGTAATGTTAATTTTAAAAATCAATATTATTAAAAAAAAAAAAATAAAAAATCCAATATTTCTTACATTTACAGAGGTTATTAACAAGCTGCAATACATTAAGTAAATATAATAATTATAAAAAATAAAATTTAAATTACAAAATGCTTAAAAAAGTTACGAAAACTTTAAAGATTATCTATAGAATACAAAATGTCTATTAATTATAAATAAGATTTTTATATATTTAATTATATTAATAATGAAATAAATATGATCAATAAATATAGCTACATAAGGAAGATTAAGCTAATACACGGATTATGATATGTTTATTTCTTTATTGCTAATTGTTATTCATAGGAATGAAAACAAAGAATTATAATTGTTTATATCTATGGCAAATTGTGATAAGAATAATTAATATCCGATAACGTACATTTCGTGTTAAATAACCTAAAAAATGTATTAATTTATAATTATTATTTTTCATTGTAAATAAAAATTATAAAGATTGTAGAAATTAAAATTAAATGTATTACTTCTGAACATTAAAAAGTTATTGAATTATATATCATATTATATGAAGTATTCGTGTAATCTTCTCTATAATTGTTTTAATTTTTCTATATCCTTAATGGTAATATGCTTTATTTATTGTTATTAAGTAAATGTACTGAACTATAAGACTCATTATGTGTAAAATTTAATAATTAATAAAACTAGCAATCAATGTATAGGTGATAATTACTTACCTTATATTTCACTCGTATTGATTCCCTTCTTCTGATTCTGCTGTGAAACTCGCTAACACTGTGTAAAAAAGAATTTTCTTTATTGTTAGCGCCTGATTTTGACGACAAGGATTTTCTAGAATTATTCAAAGTGGGAGCCATAATGATTTACTAATAAATAGTTACTCCCATCAAAATACACGATTTCACAATGAAAATATAGCGTTATTGGTTAATTAAATAAATCTATGACAAGCAATACAAAATATTGAATTATCTACGTGTACACAACAAAAAAGTTGAATATTAACAACATTATACTAAATTCATTGGATAATAAAAAGATACTATTTGAATAGTAACGGATTCTTAAATGATAACATCATTGTTATGAGAGACACAGTGTCGCCACTATATTTAAAATGAATTCTTGGGGAAATAATTATTGTTTACACTTTACTTATTTTTATTTTTAAATGTATTTTATTCAAAAGATTGTATATTTAATAATTTTTAAAGAAAAAGACGAAAAGATTCACGCACAATCATTGAAGTTATAAATCGATTAAATTGTTTATGGAGGTACCATTGCAATCATAGACCTATTATTTGATGGACGGTGCTTAGAGAGAGAAACCCATTTCAACATTGAGTGAGAGAGTTAGACGAATACCCAGGAATCATTAAAAACATAACTGACATAGTTTTCACCATAGATGTATAAAACAATATATATATTGTTGTATATATCTATAGTTTACATAGACCTATTACAGATAATAGGTCTATGATTTTAACACAGATATTTATATATGCGGATTCTAATCACGGTCTTAGAAGATAAGACTACTAAGACTGTTATTCTAATGAAAAATTTCAAGTATATGGATTAATAAACATTTTTATTATTTTTTTATCCATGATATTCCTGACCATATGCTAGTCTCCATCATTCAATATCTTATTTGTTTCAATTGACAAATGATGAGAAGATTTCGAGACGAGTGGAGGTTTAAGACCCAGGTGGCCGACTCCAAATGGTTGGGAGGAAGGCGAAGGAGAAGAAGAAAAAGAATAAGAAAGAGGAGATAAGAAAAACGATTGAATCAAAAAATTCTAAAAATACGAATTTGTAAATTTTAATTTTATATTTGTCATATTTATACTATATTTATATTTATATTAAATTTAATAACACACAAATGAAAAAATAAATCTTATCAAATAATAAGGTATCAAGAACTAACCCAAAGGAAAAATTTAGAAATTTATATGTTTGATGTATTTAAATTTAGTATATTACCTACAATACCATAGAACATAATATATCTTATGACAGTTGTTTTTCTATATACTGTAGCGCAATCTTCAACATATCATAATGACTAAATTTAAGCAATTTAATTAACGCTTTAATATACTAGTAGAGCGCGCTAAATAATACAGATATATATTTTATCCGTGTATTAATATTATAGCCTCTAATTTGGAGGTAACGTCTCCATCTACCTTTATATTTTTTTTTATCACTATTTTCTACTTAAATATTAAAACTATGGATCATTGGAATAAACAGAACTTAGTCTGTCGAAATGGATATGACTTTGGTTAAGTCATATTTTTCCTGGAAAATTAAAATCTTAATAATACAATTCAAATTAATGATTAACTTATAACTTTATTATCTTATATATATATATATTTAAATCAAAAAAATACATAATGAAGCAAAAAAAAGGAGTTCTTATAACTATTTTATTCTTAATAAGACATTATTACATTATTTTAGTTTAACAAATCTTTATTCTTTACCCTCCTAATTTTTACCTCGGTCTTTCACTAAACTACCTAATTTTTCTTTAAAATTAATTTTTATCATAACCCTTTCAGTCCCACAACTTTCACTACTATTATATTCATCATATCATGCTTAAACCATTTTAAACTAAACTCTATCTCTTACTTTTCTCATATAGTGCATTTTTACACCAATAATTGGTTTAAGTTACTTTAAGTTATTATTACAATCATAAATAAAAGTATACTTCATGGTTTTATAAATAAATTATAAAATAAGTTACAATGATACTAAAGGAATTTTCGTTTTTTGAAAATAATCGAATTATTCCTATATGTTCTCAAAATATTCCTTTACCTATATTATAATAATTCTATTCGATTTTGACTAAAAGATTGTTTTATTGTTTTTGAGAGATATATTGATGCAGTATATATGAATCTAAGACGATTTATTCGATCTCATGTGATCCGTGGGAACGTAGGGCCTAGAAAAGTCATCTTAATATGTGAGTTGAAGGATATGTGTTTTCTAATACCAACATACATATAACACAAACGTCAGTCGCCGTTATTTCATAACAATACCAAGCCATATTACATATATAATGTTGATACATATCCGTAATCTATACCCGTTAATGTGTTCTATCGATGATCTGGATTATTACTTATAAAATAGCCTTCAAATAACAATGGATTTTTTTGTAAAAGAAAACATCCATATATAAACATACATATATCTACAGCTATCTCTATTATTGTAATGAAACAACAGAAACAGTTTCTCAACATGTAGACCCGTGTATACGACCTTAACATCGATTTTTTTGATAAATATGTTAATTAATAAATGGATAAATGATAATTAATAGCATAAATAGTTAATACATTGTGTGTATAATTTTACAATAAGATATAAAATCTGTAGAAAAACAGAAAATTAGGATTAGATTAAAATAATAATCGGTGTAGCAAAATTTGTCTAAATAATCTCCGAAAACCATTATTTATAACCTGGTCCAGACCTACAAGGGAAGAGGTTTTAAGCCCAAGAATAATATTATTTTAATTATTAAAAGCATATATTTTATTTGTATTTGTATTTACATGTCATACAGACGAAAAAATGATTACATCTAAATAAATTCGTATTCAATTAAATTTGTAAAAAAATGTAAACATTTTCAAACTTTTCATTATAATAAAAATTACATAACTAATTGTTATTAGTTACTAGGTAAGAATATATTTTATAAGCTATTTTAAATTATGATATCCCATGAGAAGACAATACCATGGCTCCACGAAACGTCATTATTGAATAAAGGCGACACCTAATAACATTATCGAATTTATTGTAAAATGAAATAGTCTTCTAAATTAATACCTTACTGTAGTATATTTTTTATTAAATACGAACCTAAACTGTTTTTTATTTTCCCTAAAATGATAAGAAAAAGTATATGATCTAATTTATTCATATATTTATTTATATACGTTAAGATTGAAAGGCATTGAAATAGGAAAAGTGAAATTATCATACATTTGTTAATGTTAAGAAGATTATAAAACAATTTATGGATGATAATCGTTGAAGAGGATAAAGTAAAGGAAGTTATTTTCTCTAGTTTCTGTTTTTTACAAAACAAGACGTTCTATTAAGTATACCGATGGAACTATCATATGTTTCTTTGTCAAATAAAAAAAAATCTTGCGATCCAATGTTAAACTACTATGAGTTCACTAAATATAAAATCGACTTGCATCTGGTCAATATTACTTATTTTCTGTTTTCGAATTAAAGCGTCAAGGATCATTGTACTATACAGTGCAGTGTATTGTTTCAATGGACAGAGGTTCTGTACATAGTCTATTAACTAAAACTGTAAACAGTAAAGACCTAAAGCATCAACTTTTTGAAACAGAGTTACTTTGTTATGCGGTTTCAAAATATTCTCTCTAACTATTTTGTTTCCTTCTAATGTTGTTCATACTTTTAGTTACCTAGATATCATAAATATCTAGGCTGATTATTGAATATTTATGTTGAATGTTTTTTCGTTGGCTAAAGTAAACTTTGTACACCATTATTTTGTATGATAGCCACTATTGTATATGTATTAACCATACAACTCTTTAATATTTCTTGTTTACTACTGTTTAGTCAATAAGAAATATATTATAATCTTCTAAGTTAATTTTATTTTTATATAGCAACTAGCGAAGTATGTCATATTTGTATTTATTTTTCAAGTCACGTTTTTTATATAGTACATTTATTGTTTTGTTACGTAAAACACGTGAACACGCGTTATTAAATAAATCAGTTTCAATACTATAATGAGTAGTGATTATTGTACATGTACTGCCAATAATATACTTAGTTTACAAAAAGTATAAAATATTATCTTAAACACATATTTTAGGGTAAGGTTTTATTAAGTTATGCAACTTTTTGTTGTATATTTTAAGTATTATAGATAATAATTTAATAAAAATTATATACAAAATGTTAGATTTGAATTTTAACTTTATGTCTAATAAAATATACTGGGAAGTACATTCTGTACTATAACAATATTTACGTAACAGTGCCCTGGGTAGAATTTTATTTTCCAAAGATATACCTATTAACTTATATTTTCAACAAACTAATTTCAACATTTTTCTTTTTAAATTCGAGAAATAAGTTATATAAAATGCATATTGTATTATATATTTATTCTCTCGTACACTTATATTATTAAACTTATAGTCACAAGCCCCTTAAGGTCATTTTAGGAGATAATTCACAATGTTTTTACACAATTGGTTTACGCTAATAACAACTCACAATAACATTATTTTATCACAATGAAACATATTAGCCTGAAAGCAATTTTTGTGTGGAAGGATTGGATACTAAAACAACCTCGTTTCCGGGGTAACATTCTGATCCCCGCCAATGGTTGCATATGAAACGAAAGTCGATGAATAAGTACATATATAAGGCGTAATACGCTATGCACAAATTTATTAATATTATAATTTATCAACCACCACCAACAACAGAACAACACTGAATTTTGCAGCAACGTTGAATAAGTTTCATTCACAATCGAAATGATATCTTTTAAGGTAAGTTAAATATAATAATACTACTACTGTATACTGACATATTAATATACATTTAATTATAAATAGTTTAAATTTGAAATCCTGGTGGGAGTTTAGTCATAATAATAACAATCAAATAATTTTAGTTTTTAAATCTTTATTATAATTAAGTATTGAATATATTTAACATAAAATTACACACTATTTTTTCAAACAAAACAAAATTAATTAATTTATGCTTTATTTGTAAATTCTCTATATTATGTGAACCAACAAAAAACTTAAAAATTACATTTACTATTGAATTTAAAAATAAAAAATGTGCGGTATTCAACTAACTATAAATGGACATCGGCATCCAACAATTTTGCAAAACTAAAATTTATAAAATAAAACCTACAAAAACAAAAAAAAAATAGTAATTTTTTATTTATACTAAAACTGTGATTTTAGAAAATTGAAAGTAAAATATGAAATTCTTATCCACTGGGAGTGAGGTAGAAATGTAACTGAACGGTTTGAAGTTTAACGGTACACTAATAAACAAACAATTTTAGTTTTATACAATTTAAATTTACCTAATATTTAGTAGGTACGACTATATGGTAAACTTTGTACATAGAAATTCACATATTAACTTTAGCCGTTAGTAACTCTAAATTTGAGATTTTTGATAAATAAAATAAAACTCTATCTTAATAATTGCAGATGATATAATTAAATATGAGAATTAATGTGTCCCAGTTGTGCATATTTTCAGATAGTTTCCCAAAATATCACATAAAACTAAAAAATTTTTAATTTGTAATTTTGAAATGAATTACATCAGAGATGCGAAGACAGTTGCATATTATATTATAATGACTCAAAAAGTAATTATTATTACTTCTATTACTTCAATAGTATTAAAATTTGTTTACAGAGTCGGCATTTTGGTGGGACGGAGTGCATAACCTCTCACCTATTAATGACTTATTTATATAGTTGGTAATAATCAACAAATCAAGTAATATTAGCGTTGTAGAATTTTGTTTTAAAAAGTAATCGGCAAATTTATGCATATATAATCTCCTTTCCCATTAATATTTGCTAACACTGTGTGTTTATCAATTTATAAATTTTATATTTAGGAATATTAGAATCACTTCAAATTTGGTTTTTTAAAATCGGGATTAATAAGAATCGATATAAAGATGAAAGAAATGGCAGTTAATATAATTTTCATAAATAAGACAGGTGGTTTTGAATTAAATGTTTTGTTTTTTTTTAATTTTATAATATTTATATATATATATATAATCGGTGCTCTAGGACGCAATATGAATATGGGATATTAGAAGTAGAAATATTTAGCACAATTTTCTAAATTGGCTTGATCAAGGATTGTCATCAAATTGTAGATTTTGAGTATTGTGTTTATTATATTATATAACTAATTATTAGACATAAGTAGGGAACGGATTTATATGTAATAAAAATACATAAATATGTACATATGTATGTAAGTATAATTTATAAAATATGTACTAAAACCATCCAAATATGTAGGAAAAAAATTTAAAAAAAAAAAAAAAATTATAATTATTAAATTATCAAAATAATTTGCTGCATTGAATAATTACAATATATTTTAAATTATCAAATATTAAATGTCGCCTATTAGATCTGAAAATATTTTTAAAACGGCTAAATGATCGTTCCACATCAACCTACATCGGTTGATTTAAGCATATTTGAAGGGCATAATATTAGAAGGCGATAATTCCAAATTTTTAGAAGGGTGTCTGCCACTAATTATGTCATTAATTGATTTAAAATCAATATGGGCTGAAATTTTTTCCTGTAAAAACATGAATTTTCTTTTTTACTACTTCTTCTATTGGTCCGTTTACGAGTTTTCATTTTGCAATCGTTGATTCGAAATTGCATACTTTCATTCAAGGACATATTTTTGTTTCTAATTTTTTAATTGTATGTGCAATAAAACTAAAATTCATTAAAATGAAAATTAAATTTGTTTTCAATGTTTCATTTTGCATAATATTTTGAGCTTTTCTAATAGCGATAAAAGTTCTGGATCTAAATTTGAAATAATTTTTTGTATTTTTGTACGAAGAAGACGTATGAATGATGAAATAATAAAATATGTTTAAAAATATTTACAAATTAGTGAAATATGTAAAAATATGTAATTATACCAAAATATGTAAAAATATGTAAAATAAAAGTAGCATCATATTAATAGGAATGATTTAAATCATGAACATTTCTTATCAAATTTTAAATATCTCGTTTTAATAAAAATATGTATTTACATATAAATCCGTTCCCTAGACATAAGTATTTGAGCATACCTCCGTCTTCAAGACTAGTAGTATTTTGGCTTTAACGTAGCGAGCCTAACAAGTACGTCGTCAAAGGGGAGCCTTAGGGGGCTGGCCCCCTTGATTTTGATTTTTAAATATTATGGTGTTTAGTTGTCCCAAACCGGCTAAATTCTGAATGTATATTTCATATGGGCGATTGTAAACTCCGCTAGAATATCAGTTAAGATAAAAGGATAATAAAAGGTCTAATGTAAACTCCACCAGTTTTTTTTTCTTACCTGTAATGAGTATATGTAAACTCCTCCAGTTTTTTTTTTGTTTACCTGCTCAGTGTTCACATTGCCACGTGCCTTCTCACATTAAATACGTTGACATCTATTGGGATGATGTACATCGAAATCGATAAAATTATTGTCATGGTTCGATTCATTTTAAGGTGGATTTATATCCACATTGATTCATTTATTAATAATTATATCTTCATATTATCTGAAATTAGTATTTCCAATGTTGATATCGGCAGTAGGTAAGGTATACATAAAGTATACTTTGACGAACATAATCATTCGTAGCCTGCGTGTTTCCGTGTATATTTTATATTGAACGAAATATGTCACAACAATAATAATATAAAATTAATTACTGGTCATCGAGGCAATTTATTAGTTTTATTTAACAACTACAAATATAACCAAAATATAAAATACACGTCTGATGAAATAAAATGGAGATATGATATTATATAATATTATAATAATAATATTCATTTATTATTACTTATTACGTATTACTTTTAATAATATATCATATTAATTTTATACTACTACTCGATTTTCTTCACTGGCGGAGTTTACATGAACCCAATTTTACCTGTTTTATTTTTTTGGCGGAGTTTACATTAAAAAAAGGTACTTGTGGTGGAGTTTACATGCGCCCTTTCCATATAATTAACGATCGTATAACAAAAATTAAATTCTGAGATTCTATTTTATAAATATTCGTCATTTGACAATTTGACAATAGTACGTGTATTAATAGATTGAAAACTAGAAATTCCAAATACGGATATCGAACGCACATTTAATAAACACAATTACAGAAAGAGGCCTAAAAATGTTGGCCCCCCTATAGAAATATGTCTGGTTACGTGCCTGAAGCCTAAGTTAGACGATGATCGAGTATTTCATCGTCCAAAAAACGTCGTAAAAAACCAGTATTAAGTAACATGTTTTCTGATAGTATAAGTACCTACTAGAAATGTATATGTACAAGAGAACCATACAGTAAAAGTCACTTCAATACATCCGTCTCTCTTTCCCTAAGCCTACGCCCAAGCCACATGATTACCTAACTATTGATCCAACAATACTTCACCTCCTCCTGATTCAGAGATAAAGAAAATAATGCCTAGTGTCCTTAATTCATTAAAACAGTCAATAAATCCATTTAACCATAAACTTATCAATGTAATTACAAATGTTCTAGAAAAAATATATTAAAAAACGAAACTTTTAAAAATAAATCCTTCTAAATTGTATTATTTAACGCTAATGGTCTAAAATTCATATAAACAAATTGCAAGTCCAGAGGCGTCAATTGGGGTCAAACTATGGTAAATGCCCCACTCTAAAAAATTTTAAAAAGTCGGTAATTCTGTGTCCGATGATTAAATGCTAAAATCGGTAAATAGTAAATTTTTATTTACTATTTTTTACTCAGAAATCAGATAATATTATCTTTTAAATACACGTTCATGGTTTATTAAGAGTTGGGAGCCAGTCCTCCTCGGTTTACGACAATCATTATTATGCGAACCTTATAAACTTTATTTTAGGTATATTATATATTTCTATATATGTGCCTTTATAAAAATAGTTTTCGGGATATCGATATCATAAAAATTGAGCTCATAATCTATAAAAAACCATTAAAATCGTTTCTATTTACCTCAAACTACGGTACATTGTATTTGAGTTGCAATTTTATGTTTTTATAAATAAGTTCTTTAAAGTATTAAATATACAAATAATGAAATTATAAGTATTTATTTAATTAGATTTATATTATTATTCCATTAAACCTGTTGATAGGTAACTTATAGCCTATTGAATAAATAAATAAATTAATGTTTTACTATCTTTAATGTTATTATTTAATTGGGTAAATTTAAACAACTTTATTTATCATTGTGATACATTATTCATTACTAATTCCTACTTGTTTTGTTCCGAAAAAATATTTTATTGATAGTCTATGGTCTATAAATATTAAATATTTAAATATGTATGTATATAGGTAACCATAATTTTTTAAATAATATGAAGTCGGCAAATTTAGTCAGTTGCCCCACCCTTTCAAAAGTTGAAATGACGCCCTTGTGCAAGTCACTCTAACAAACGTAATGACATTGTACTCAAAACACATTTTATAAAATACTCATAAATACATACCTAATAAACTAATTAAAACAGAAGAATTAAAATAGAAATATTGTTTTTTTTTATTAAATCCTCAATAATATTTTGTAAGTTCTTCCAAATTTCTGCCAAGATTTTCTACAATCTTGCATTTTTTTAATAAAATTAAATAATATTCTAGTTACAATTGCAACAATTAATTTTCTTCCAAGAAATAATCTTATTAACTCAAATTATCTAAATTATTTTATTACCTTTAGTAAAAATTTTATTATTGGAAGTGATTAGGTAGGTAGGTATAATATAAATCATCCGAGTTAAAATTTGCCACACAAATAATCATTGTGGCATTATTCTTTATAACACAACAAGCATAAAAATCAATATAAAGTACTTGTTCCTTCAAGTTAGTCTTACTAGCCAACTTCTCGTCGTAAGAATTCGAATATTCTTGATATTTTTGTTATAAAAATATCCTAATAATTTATATTATGTAATAACAACCTTTTAGACGTGAACTATAATCATTCATTAGTTATATATATATATATATAAGTATCCACTAACTCATGTAGGACCACCCAGAATATTTTAATGCTATTATAAATTAATGAATATTTCACGACTTAATAAATCGGGAAATCAAATTAAATATCAAACTAAAGTCCAATGACGACATTAATAGTGCTGTTTATGAATCTCAATGATATCATCCAATCAGCGTCACGGTCGACGTACGAATAAAAATGAAATGGTTTAACATTAAAATACCACCGCAAGCAGTACTGTTTTCGAGTTATAAATTGCAGAAAAAATTTGTAGTTAATGCGATAGTAATTTTATCCAAATTTGTAAACGGGGAAACACGTATCACATTATTCTAGTTCTTGTTTAATCCTTATTAAACAAACGTAACACCACGATTGTTGATGATAATTATTGATAATGTTGTCCTCAAGTTCTTGCTATGCACTGTGGTCCTGATTATGGCAGCAGTGACCGTAACCATTGGAGCCGACGACACAGCTGCCGCCGCAGACATCACAGCGGCAGAACCATCGGTGTACTCTCCGGCCTATCTACCACCGAAACACAACCCGTATGATGGCGCCGTGACCAGCACTTCGACCAATATCATTCGAACGCCGGGCAACTTCGGGCAAGTGGCCGCGTTCCACAAGACGGTCGAGACGCCGTTCTCGTTAGCACACAAGGCCGACGTGCGTTTCACCAACGACGTGGTACAACCGTATCAGCCCTCGGGCCCTTACCCGTACGCCGCGAGCCCTTATCCGTACGCCGTTGGCCCCTATCCGTACGGTGCGGGCCCTTATCCGTACGCCACTGGTCCAGCGAACGCGGCCAGTCCATACCCGTACACGACAAGTGACCCGTATAAAGCGTACGGCTACGGCCTGTCCGCCGCTCCGGTCGCAGTACCTTACGGGTACAACCCGATCGCCGTGCCGCAGGCCACAGGGCCCTACGGATACGGCTCGACTGCCGGCGCACCAGTGACTTCGCACGCAGTCGTGACGCCACACTCCGTCGCTCATACCAGTTTTTCTGGACCATACGGATCCCACTACTCGTACAAACGATAACCGTGTATAGCACCTGTACGTACATATGTAAACATTAATTTAGTTATTTGTTATTTACATTGAATTTATATATAATACAAAAATTATTGGAAAAAAGTAGTTAATTAATTTTGAATACCATACGGCCTACTTGATTAATAAAATGGCAATTAATGGTCAGCTGAATGTTAGATGGACATAATCCGAGATCAAAAACGACGTTTTTTTGATAAAATAAAAATGAAAGAAAAACTACCACTATTAGTATGTGTTTTCTCAATGCTAATTAAATAACAATTGAGTTCAATTTCATGAAAAATTAAAACCCCTATGTGCCTACATCACAGACATTATTCTCTTCGAACAGAGTAATAATTTTGATTTAAGCCCATGACAGACATGTTTGCGTTTAACAGCTTTTAATTGTACCTTAGTAAATTATAGTTTGCCCATGAAAATGAAGTGCTGTTCTCAGTGGCGACTCGTGCTATGGTGCACAGGAGCACGCGAACCACCTAAAAAAATTATATAAAAAAGTTATTAGATTCCTATACTAAATTATAATCGGTTATTATGTACGTAGTCTGTGATTAATAAAAATGTTTGTTAATAAAAAGAAAAGTTTTCCCAGCTTTTCGTGTGGGGAAGTGTGTCTCTGGCAACTAAATAATTAACACGTTCGTTGTGCTCCGGAAGGCCGTACAAAAGTTAGCTAAATACGTAGGCTAAAATACGTAAATATTGTCGTTTGATATTAAATTCTTTAAAAACTGAAACCGTTACACGACACACAAGACAAACAGCTTTCCATTAATTTCAATGAAAAAGTAATTTATAGACCATTGAAAATTCGACAATCATCAATATATTTGCGTTTTTTTTCTGTCTGACATTTTCATATGCACACTTTACAATTAAATATCGATATCATCCGTGTACTTAAAATAACGTACTAATCAAACTAATGTGTACCTTAATTCATAACTAGGGTCCGGATTTGTATGCACTTAAAAACCTTAAAATAGTATGCATTTATGCATCAAAAAACCTTTAAATATGCACTAGATATGCTCTTATTTTTTTTAAAAAATATGCAAAAATATGCTCTTACCCAAAATATATGCATTTATAATTTTTTTTTTAATTTTTTCTTTATATATTAATAAATAATAATTAATACAACATAATCAAACAAACTTATTTTTTTTATTACCGGCACTGCAACATCAACTTACAACATTAATTAAAGACAAAAAATGTTTAAAAATTACATTAAATTAATAAAGTGCACTTTAGTTAAAAATAATAATAAAAAAAATGTATTTAATTTTTTTATACCAATGAAGACAATTTATATATATAAAAAAAACAATTTAAACAAATAAAAACATTTTAATTACCTAATAGATATAAATCGATATTTACTTTTTATAAAAAGAGTTAACAATAATATACTCTTCCATATGTTCAGGTGTCATATTTATTCTTCTATCACTTAATATATGTTTATATAGACTGAAGGATCTTTCCACATCTACTGACGTCAACGATGCATATTTCATATTTGCCACAGAGCAAGGATTGAAATTTTCTGGAATCTGTATTTCATTGTTACCTGATATAACTAGTCCGATTTGTTCTAGTACTTGAAATCCTTTATTTTTTTGATATAACTGAGATATTTTATTTTTTATGATAGAACCTTTGTCACCTTGTATATTTGATAGTTCGGAAATTATAATTTTCGTAATCTCTAACGATTGTAGTAATGTCAATTTAGTATCTTCTAAATTTGTGATTGCCCGAATAAGTCCAGAAAAGTTAATTTTTATAAATGTTAAATCATTTTTCACTGTAGTCAAATTGAACATTTTTTTACAATTGCTGAAGAATCATTATCTAGTTTTTCTATTATACTTTTAATACCTTCATAGTTATTTGCATTAAATATAACTGCCTCTATCCATGTCCCCCATCTTGTAATAACTGGTTCCGGGGGCAATGGTAAACCAGGTAGCATTCTTTATATAGTTGAATACGAGAAGGTGACTTTAAAAAAAGATTTTTTTACATTGTTAATTAATTTATTTACATCGGGGAATAACTCTCTTACCTTTTCTGCTACTCTGTTTAACATATGTGCTACGCATGTTACATGGATGATATTTGAGTAAAACACTTTTAATGCATCTCCAGTTTTAACCATATATGGCGCTGCATCTGATAAAAACAATCTTAGGTTTTCGTCATTTCCCCCAGCGGGCCATAATATTTTTAAACTATCGTTAATAAAACGAGATACGGTAGAGTGATTTGTTTTTGGCAGTTCTTTACATGCTAATAGATAGGGTTGACTTGGTGTATCACATTCTAAAACGCCAACTAATAAATTTGCTATATAACGGCCGTTTGTATCAGTTGTTTCGTCAACAGCAATCCAAATATCTGAATTTCCAATAATTTCTCGGATTGCATTTATAACATTATTGTAACATGGACCAAGATAATTTTTTCTAAGTGTACTTTCATCGGGAATATGCTTACCTGTGTACTTTTCCAAAAAAATTCTTGAATTCGGGAATTTGAAGTTTATTCCATGGTATATTAGCGACTATCAAAGCTGAACAAAGATCCTCGTTAAAAATGTTACCAGATTTAGGTTTTGCGTCCAATACAAATAATTGTTTTTTGTTATCATTTGCTTTACGATTTAAAGCACTTTTATGCAAAGCAGTATCAACGTGTTGTTTTATTTGAAATTTTTTGGTGCAAACGATTTTTTTGTCACACAATTGACAAAACACTACAGAACCGTCCGTAGTAAAAATTGTGTGGTCTGTTTTATTATACAATGCAATCCATTGTTTTATTAAAATTTGAATATTACTACGACTTTTCGGCATTTTAAAATTTACGAGTGTAAAAAAAATTATTAAAGAAATTTGTTTATATACGGAATGCGGATTACGAAATTATATTTATAGGCGATTACCGACTGGCGACTACAGCACGACGCGCGACGATTAAATACCAACTAAATGTAAAACAACAAGAGCCACGATGCAGCGTGTTTATCCAATATAAGACTTAAAATCACGATAATAATAATAATAATCATGCTAAAAATATAATTGTATGAAGGAAATTTATATATAACTAGTCTTCATTGTTGTCGATCGATGTGTTTCGATAAGCAAGATATGGTTTTAATACAAATTAAATATTTCCCCACAATACTTCATAAACTCATAAATCTAGTTTCTATAGTGAAATATAAATAAAATAACTATTATGTACCAAAATATGCTTTATTATGCCGAATTCTTCAAATATGCTCTCAACCTTAAAATATGCATTTATATGCAAAATAAACTTTTTTCTATAGATTCTCTGCTACACAAATCGTTCACATTTCTTACTCCCGTTGAACTGCATACACTTATTACAAATATGTAAATGCATAAAAATCCGGACCCTATTCATAACCTTTTCTATAGACAATAAATGATAAGAAAACCAGTTCAATATATAAGATTATTTTTGTACTTTTATACTTAGTGGCCCGCTTGAAGATAATTGTTTACCAAAGTGGCCCATCAAAGGAAAAAAGTTGGACGTCACTGTATTACATCATCATAATACTGTGGAAAATCGGTTTTATAAAATTTGTAAATGTTATTAGTGATTTGAGAGAAAAGAGAAAGAACAATTATTAAACATCCCTTGGTGTTTCATAACATCAATATAATTTGTAATTTTTTTAAGTCATGAACTCAGAGCACACATACATTAAAACAAAATATTCTTAAGGTGGGTAAAAAACCGTGATGCATTCCTAAGATTCGTTAAAATATAATGTTCGGTTATATATACGTCAGAAGAGTCAGAAAACTATCATAATATTGATACTTCGTCTAGATCTTCATAATTACTTAATGTTATTATTAAAAGTGATGTAATTTGCTTAAACATAGCTGGTGATTCATTTTCTCCGACTTTCTCCCTTTGCTGGGATTTACAAAGAGTAAATTGTGATTTTTTTGAAACAGCTAAACATACTGAAAATATATTTAAAATTGTAATAAAAAACCGATAATATGCAAACGAAGAATTTTCAATTTTATTTAATAAATCTAAAAACATATTAAAATCAGTTAATTAACGATCAAGGATTCCGAAGAATATTTTCGAATTTAAATTTATACAACTCCTACGACTTTTTACAAAAAGTGAATAAATGATTATTAACAAGTCTGCAAAAAATTATTCCTAAATTGTGTCAGTAAAAAATATAAAGGTATTAAACTTTGTGTTAATTTTTATTTCCAATCTAAACTCAATAGTTTTTGAAGCAGAATTTTTACTTTGGCAAACAAAGTAGACCAAGATTTTCGAAAAAGATAAGCCATCAAATATTTTTAATGCGTTGTCTTAGTGCAATCTAAAATGTTTTCCTAATTAAATGTTAATCGAAACTATCCGTATCAACATCAATACCTAAAAGGACGTTTTCTACTTTAGAACGTCGCGAAACTTTTTAAGAAACAGAATCAGGTAAGAAAGAATAGTACGACCAGTCCTAATGAGTGTGCATAGAAGTATTGAAATTGACGCTAAAAAAGTTATTAAAAGATTTTCAAATACTTCAAGGAAAATTGAATTAGTATATTAATATTATAGTAGGTATGCTACAGTGGCGGTCAAATGATTTTGTCATGGGGGGGGGGATGTAGCTGATTTTTTAACAAACACTATATATAAAAATCTTTATTTTTAAACATGGAAATTATATTATATTAATGATATTTATATTATTAAATCTATTTTTCTGGTTTTTTTGCCAATTCGTCCAGTACTTCGTCTACAGTTATATTGACAACCACATAATGAACAACCATAGTGATTAAACCATTGAGACGACCCTAAAATAATATAATTACACATTTCATATAATAATATAATATATTATTTTAAGCATTAAGTACTAAATTTAAATTTCATACATTCTTATAATTTAACTATAAAGAAAATGAAAAAAATCTAAAAAGTTTGTTTCAATTAATATTTTAGTGTTTTATGTTTAAACTGTTAATTTTATTCGAGCCTAGAGACTGTATAATAACTAATAAGTACAGTATATTTATTTTTTTAAATAGAAAATAGATGACCTATATTATATTATGTATAATATGGATGAATAATAAATACCTATTTAAAAAAAAGTCATGGAGGGATCTATCCCCCTCATCCCCCCCCCCGTTTTACCGCCACGGGTATGCTATATATTTTTAAATATACATATATATATATTTAAATTGTGTACTAAATTATAGTCAATTATATATATTTTACGAAATCGGAGCTATATTTTATCGAGCTGATAACGGTTTATTTGTCTTTTATCTCATATAATTAACTATTATTTATTAATTATTATTACCTATATAATGTTTTAACTATCAAATTATATCATGTACAAAACGGTTTTAATGACATCGATTCTGTAATTTTTAAGCAAACCACTATAAGTATTTAAAAAGTACGGTGTGTACCATAAAATTTTTAAAAACTTATTCATTTAGGTCACAAAAACAATTGCAAACTTACATTTAAATAAATGTTTTCAAAGATATAGACTCATGTTCTTATTGCAGAGTACCTACGTCCCAGAATACAGATATTTATTTCAAATATATAAAATAGTGTGCAGTACAAACAATTTAAGAATTTAGGTCTTGATGTTATCATTTCCATTGATCTGCTAATGATTATAAAACATTTTGAAAATGAGTATGATTTTATGAACATATATCTATAATTTATGACATGATAATAATACATATCAATATTTGAAATATGTATTCGAGTAGTTAAAAAGTACATTACAAGACTGGACTGGTCATTATAAAATTAATACTATAAAGCAGATAGCATGAGCGTATTAATATTTCGAAGAGCTACATTTCTTCGAGATGGTACATGTAATAGTAGATTGTTATTAGTTAAATATTATTATTCATTATACAATCCACGTGTATAAGACATTATTTTAATTTAAGATAACCCAGTCAAGATGTATTTAACAATTATGGCGTCAAATGTGATATAATATAGTCATAAACTAAACCACTTGAGAAATGCATAGTTTACATGATAGGTATGTATATATTAAATACAAAAAACAATATGTAATTCAGTAGTTATGTTACCACTCAACACAATTTTGTTTTGTTTAATGTAAAATATGCTGTTTATTAAGATAAAATATTGTGCCATTTATATTGTAACTTTAATGTTTCTATCATTTGTAATGTATTTTATATTTATACAGAATGAACCTAATTATAGGTAAGTACATACATTTTATTTCATAACAAATATTTGGACTTATTATACTCAATGATTAATTTTATAGTATGAAAAAAACGAAAATTTTTAACTGAAATCTAAGGAATAATATTTAAATTACCTACTAGAAAGAATGAATAAAAATATATTTTGAGTAGATGTATGATAGTAACTAAAAGTAAATTAAATATCAAATTAACTTATATCAGTTATGATTATACTGTTTACAGATCCATAGAACCAAAACGACCACTAACAATAGTTGAAGAAAAACAAAGAGTATTTTTTCTAAAAACTCATAAATGTGCTGGCACTACTATACAAAATATACTGATGCGATATGGCCATAAAGAAAATTTAGATTTTTTGTTGCCAAATAAAAATAATTATGTAGGAAATCCCGAACATTTTAATATTAGCATGGTAATTAATGTCACTGCAGATAATAAGTTTGACTTATTTGTACATCATACCAGGTATTCTCAAGATGTAAAATCTGTTATGAGATCTGGTACATTTTTTGTAACTATTTTACGTGAACCAACATCGTTGTTTCAGTCAATGTACTCGTTTTATCATTTTGAAAAAAAATATAAAAACAATTTAACCAAATTTATAAGCAACCTCTCAAATAATTCATCATTCAGAAAAAATGTACAACGTTATAGTAAAAAATTAGGAATAAATCAAATGAGTTGGGACTTAGGAATGGCTCCTGAAGATTTTGAAAGTACAAAAATGATAAATAAATTTATAGATATTATCGAAAATGATTTTGATTTTATAATGATATTTGAATATTTAGATGCATCTCTTGTTTTATTTGCTAATTTAATGCAATGGCCATTAGAGCGGGTAGCCTATTTGCCACTTAACACCAGTAATGATACACATAAACCAATAATAACAAATTATGATGTTATGCAATTAGAAAAAGTCAACATGGCTGATAATATGCTATACAAATGGTTCTTAGAAAAATTTAAAGAAAAGATATATAAATATGGAATAAAAAAATTAAAAATAGGAATTGGAAAATTAATGGCTATAAATCAAGAAATCAGAGAAAAATGTGTGAAATCGATTACAAATAAAGGTTATGCCAAAACCTTTTCATATGAATTAAAGGAAAATACTAATATTTGCCAATATATTACAATGAATGAATTGAAGTACACATCATATCTGAGGAATACACAATATGAGAGACATAGAAAATATAAAGCACTTGATAAATTAATGAATAATAATTAAATATTACAAAATATATTATTATACAAATTTAAAAACATTGTCATTATATGAATATATAAAAAAGATAAATATATTTATCAAAAGCTCATTAATTCTTGACGGTGTTTATTCTTGAATTAATATTTTAATCCATAATCAAATCACTATAAGCTAAATCCCAATAATGTTCTACTCCATGTTTTTTTAACTGCTCACGAGCTAATTTTTCAGAAGCACAAACTTTAAACTTTATTTCTCCAAAATTGCGTTGTTTGGACATACCCTAAAATAAAATAATAAGAATTTTAGTATCTAAAGATTTTGGTATCCCATAATTTAACATACAAGTACATTATATAATATTACATAGTATACATGTTAACATATTAACTATTAATTTATTATTATTAATTATTTGTATATTTTCAAGAAAATATATTTTTTACTACAAGGAAAATATGTAAATTGAATTAATATTATAACAATAAACATAAGCAAATAATCATATTAATAAAACTTTACTACTAATTAACAAAAAAAAAATGAATACAAAATCAATGTTTATTTTAATATTAAGAATATAAGTTTAAAATTAAAAAAAAAAAAAACTTGCATGAGTCATGCAAAATTTTATAGTAAGATAAGAAAGTTTATTATTAAATTATTATTACCTCCCACACTAATGAACATTTGTTATTTGACTTTGGTTCAGATTCGTCTTTATTTTTAATAACATCATCTTCCCATTTCATCCTATGTAGCATCAATCTAAAAATCATTTAATAATTATTAATTTTCTGATTTACTAAAAAAATGTTGTATAATTAATTACTTAGTAAGTATTAAATATAAATAAAGTACCTTTTATACTTTTTTTGTTGTTTAGGACCACCTTCAACAATAACAACATTACAATCCTTACACATAATCACACAACCAGTCATAAACAATTGTTTGCTATTTGTTTCTATTTTGAATTTTTTTGATGGATTACTTAAGTCTTTTATTCTAAAATAGATATATACAATTTTCTTATTGAGAGTAAGTAATTATTTTAAGTTTCAATATAATTCATACCTATATATGGCTACATTAACACCTAATGAAGTATCTTCTTGTAATTTTCTTATTTTTTTATCTCGTCTTTGTTCAGGATTTAATCGACGAGATGCATTAGCTTCTTCATGAGCTTTTTGACGTTTTGCCATTTGTGCTCTTACATGAGATTCCATTTTGGTTGGATCTTGAACAGCTTCTGTGCCCAATACTCTCATCAAGTTTGAAATACGAAGCTAAAAAAATAAAATGTTAATAATTACATTTTTAAAAAAAATAAATAAATAAAATTCTAAAATTCTAATAAAATATCATATAATATGTTTAAATACCTTAGGTTCCGCTGGGGGTTCTAAACCAAGACGAATTTTTTCTTGTTCTTCTTTCCATGTTTCACGTCGATTTTGACGACGAAGCTTCTTTCTTTCTTTTTTTGTTAAAAATACAGGCATAAATAACGGTTTTAATGGATCAGCTGAAAGTCATTTAACATACAATTTACACAATACACATAAGTAAACTTCATACAGTTAATAACAAATAGTTAATATTATATTTAATATTATTTTATATTAATATCATTAACAGTTAATAACAAATTTTAAAATTAAATAAAATTATAGTCATAATAATATTTGATTTCTATAAATTATAAAACAAGCAGTTAGAAATAAACTGCAAAAATGATCATAAACATTATCATGCTCTTGTGAGATTAATTTATTCATATGGTTGAAATCAACATGGAAAACCTATACTTCTAAATCAATTGACTTGGTTAAAATAATTAAATGAACATATTTATTGAATAACCCCCGGATGGTTGGGGTTAGAATAGACCACAGGTTGTCCCTGTCTGCGTAAGAGGTGAAAAATGGGACTTGTAGGAGGGCAGCAGCTCTTACAATATTGAGTGTAGGTGCAGGTAATCTCTTATGAGTAGAAACAGATGCATATTAAATAATAAACAGCAGATATGGTGATTACATTGTGATGCGGAAGGCAAATAGGAAACCACTGCATTAACATTCCTTAGTAAAAACAATAAACATGACGTTCTCTCAAGTAGAAGATTCCGGAGGTAAAATAGTCCTTCGTTCTCATCTCTGGGTAGAGACTACTAGAGAAGAATGGTCAAGGAAAGTAGATAAAATAGAAAAATAGCAGCCCGTAAGGTGAGAATTCTACTACAATGTGGTAAACTGGATACTCTAAAAATAGAAATGGCAAGAATGAACATTGATATTCTGGGAATTTTGGAAGTAAAATGGTCTGAAGCTGGAGATATATGGAGTGGAGATTATAGATATGTATATTCAGTCACATCTGCTGAAAAGCCTAAATAAAAAGGATTCGGCATAGTGCTTAGAAAAAACATTGGAAAGAAAGTAAAAAGTTAAGTGCATTACGTGAAAAGATTATTCATGTCATAATAGAAACCAAACCAAAAGTTACAAAGTACAAATCTATATGTGAACCCCTCCAACAATAATGATAGCCAAGTAGAAGAAGTATATGAACAAATGGAGAAAGTTATTCAAACAATCAAAGGAGAAGGAAATCTGATCATCTTGGGAGACTGGTATGTAATAATAGAAGAAAGAAAAAGAGAAAGTAACATAGGAAAATATGGTCTGGGAAAAAGGAATGATCATGGAGATAGACTGGTGGCATTTGTGCAAAATATGACCTGATAAAATTCTAAGATAGTTATCCTGGAGCAGATATAGACAGTGATCACAATTTGATCATGATGAAATGTAATCTCAAATTTAAAAAAAATTAAAAGAGGAAACACCAATTGATGGCAAACTAATAAACTAAAAGAAAAAAAAAGTAAATGAAAAATTTAAAGAATACACAAATAAAAAAAAAAATATAAGAAGAACAGGATATTAATACCAGATAGACTTCCTTGAGAAAAAACAACTACAAATACAGCAAATGAAACAATGAAAGAAACAAAAAGCACATTACCAAAGAAGGAATGGATAGCGCCAGAGATTATTGGAATGATAAAAGAGAGAAGAAAATATAAAAATTCAAATACTGATGAATATCAAAGGAGATACAAGCTTTTAAGAAACTTGATCATAAGGAAATCAAAAGCAACAAAAGAAAAATACCTAGAAGGAAAATGTGAGGAAATAGACGTTTTGATGAGAATAGGCAATAAAGAAGAAGCATATAAAACAGTAAAAAAGTTCTTTGAAGTATGTACATCCAAATGTGGAGCAATATAAAACATAGAAAGAGAAATAATTTATAAGTAGGAGCAGATTGTAGATAAATGGAAAGAATACATAGAAGCACTATATAATGAAGAAAAACTGGTTATTACAGATTTAGAAATGATAAATGACAGTGAGCATTTGACACATTTTTCAATGCGAGTATAATTTATTTAATTTTAATATTAAATTAATGTTATAATTAATTAAATTGTAATTACTCACTTGGTGGTCTCATTTGTAATGGATGTTCAACTAAATGTGTTATATTGCTTCTTTTAAATTGAACTGTTCCAGTATCATTTAAGTAGCTATATTTAAAGAAATAATATGAATAACTCTTTTTACCATGGAAGAATCACAAATATACTTACGAAGCCCCATCTAAAATAACACTATCCCACCATTCAACATCAGGACAATGTTCAGTTAATTGTTCTTCTTTAGGTACCAACAAGGCCATTTTAGTCACGGATGAAATGCCAGTTTTACGAGCAATTTGCGAAATTTCATTTTGTAACTTTTCCAATTGAGCCTGAAATACAATATTAATAATGAATAAATCAAAAAGGAAATATACTTATTTAAAATAAGGAAACTATTTAATTAAATGTATTTAAATATCACACGAAAAAAATTATTTAAAATGAACTAAATTAATTAACATGAAAATATCATCAATATTAAAATCTATATTATATTTTAATACCTTCATTCGTAAACGATCAGCAATTTGTTGAAATTTACCAGGTTCATGGAATTTTAAAGTTCGTTTTGTACGAATATTTGATTTTATCGTCAATCGTGAATCAAAGAACTTTACTTCAGACGAATCATCATTAGATTTTTCACTAAATGTCTGTTTAAATTCTTCTCGCTTTTTAGCTCTAATATTAGCTTTTAATGTAGGTATAACTTGTGTAAGTTGAACTTCTTTACCAGTTATATCAATTGTACGTCCTTCACTATCAAGAATTAGAGGAGTAGGTTTTTCTGCAGATGAATTATTTAAGGTTTTAGGTACACTTGGAACTGTTTTTATAATACCAGTAGCTAGCTTTTTCTGTATTTGAGCCTATTTATAAAAATAAAAAAATGTGTATTAATAAGAATTAAAATAATGTTTATAAAATAAACTACCTGCAATTGAGCAATTTTTGCTTGTTTCTCAAAATCTGTTGTTATTTGGGGTTTTTTATCTTTGCCATTAGTATTTTTTTGAACACCAATAGATGGTATAGATAAAGCCTTTTTTCGTTCTTCTATCATTTTTTGTGCATTTAACATCATGTCTTTTATCTAATATAATAAAAATTATGTTATTATATACTATAAACTATACAATCCAACAGCTTGAAAACAAAAACATACCTGTCCCATCGAAAGAGCTTCTTCTTTAACAATAGGCAGATCTTCTTTTTTACGTTTAATGTTATTTTCATCATATTCCGTTTTAATAGGACGTTTATTAGCTATAGTCACATTATTTACTTTCATTGTCATTCCTTTAGCTAAATCAAATGCCTTATCGGTTAAAGACAGAGCTTTACCAGGATCTAATAATGACGAGCGAAGTTTATCTAGGGAACATGATAAGTTAAATAATTATTTGTGTACATTAAATATTAAAATCATATTTACCTGCAGTTTTGTACTTGTCGTAACCGGATGACAAACAATGCATAAGAGTGGTTACAAGTGATGGTTCCCTAAACCCTAAGAACTTAGAGACAGTCTTCTCCAAATACGGTTTAATATCCTCAACTTCTTTTCGACTGATTGATAACGCCATATTTAATAATTTTAATGATAATAAAAATTAAATAAATCACTGATGATTATTTTATGCTATATTGTGACCACACGAGAGCTAAAAAAAGTATTATAAATAGTAAATAAATGAATAACGTTTATTAACGTTATACAAGAACCCAGGCTATACGCACCCAGATACTCGTGATAAGTTGTCGGAAAAAATTAGTTATTAAGAACGACACCAGTAGCACTAGCAGTTATATTATAATCACGGTGGATATATATTTATCCACCTTGATTATAATATTTTATTCCATTGATAAGAAATTTTATATCCCATTATCTTTTTTACAACCAATGATAAAAACAAAAATTACAGTACACATTATTTTTTCTTGTGATTTATTTATATAATTTTAGTCTTTTCGTTTTATTTTATTGGTTTACGCTATCAGTTGGGTTGTGCTCGGGGCCGTCATTTTCAAAATAGACTTGTACATTATTTTTAGTTCTCTCGGTGTTTTATAAGAAAAATATTTAAATTAATTTATTCGTGTAAAATCACTTACCTCAGGGGCGTCATATGGGGTATTGCAGAGTATATGAGCATTATAATTATACTCATTTATTGTAAACGTGGTCCTCCTCAACGGTTTTCATCATTTATTCTAATTAGTCCAAGAAAGCCTCTGTGTGTGAGCATATTCCCTATCCATTCATTTTGCCATATATTTGTATTTTTCTATGATGATATTCTCTCCAGAATCCTTTCTGAAACTTCTTCATTAGGACAAAATAATTAAAACTAAATTTGGGCTAAAATATTATTCAACATTTAAACCAACGTGACATTTATCGTACTATATAGCCTAATTTATTACAATAGAAACAATATAGTTCAACTGTTTGATTTATTATTATTAGCCGGATATAATTTCTATATTTTGTATCCATTGATTCAATTTATTATTTACTTGGTGAAAAATTATTTGATAACGAATACGTTTGTTTTCATAGTATCAACTTTAACTAATTTGTAAACATATTTTTAGTATAAAACACCATTGTGCGTATTATTTACAATGTACACGATTACTATATACAAATACTCTTCAGTAAATTATATATATACAAATTATGGCTATAAGTATATATATTTAGTATTAACGCCAATTGCATACAAGTTGGCAAGTGATTGCAATTGAAATGGTCACCCTCAATACTAATAGAAAGGGAGTATTAAGTGTCAGTATCCCTATACATAGCAATATAGCATGTTTTAGCTAAAATGTCTATATATTGCTAAAATAAACTGCTCTGACACATTCTACCAATATATCTTGTGTATAATTATTACGTGCATCTATAGAATATCATTCAGGGGCGTCATTTGGGGTATTGCAGGGTATGCTCATGCATACCTAAAATTTATCAAAATGCAATTTGGCCTGGTTATAAATTTTCTGTGCCGGGCAAAAATTATTCTTTTTTTATTTATAATTGGTCTCAAGTATCGGCATCCATCATATTATAATGTATATTGCTATAAGGTGCCGTAGTAGGTATATTGCTTGTGTTATGTTGAATTTTTGGAACATAGTTTAGTTCAAATAACCTATATATAGGTAGCAGCGTCGGATAAATTAGTGGCTAGCATAGATAAGTATAATATGGGGGGGGGGGGGGCTAGAGACTGCGGCTAATCACTACGCTCAATAATACAACATGCTAAAATTAAACTGTTGATATTATCATTGATTATAGATACTATCTATAATCAATGATATTATTAATATTTTATATTATTACTAGCTTCTGTGTGCCTCGCTTCGGTTGAAATTCGTTTAATATTTATATATTAATCAATTTAATTAATAATATGAATTATTAATATTAATAATATTCAAAACATTATTATGTAGGTATAATGTAACATGCAATACTACCACGGTTACTACTTGTGATAATTATTAACTTTTGATAATATACGGGTGGAAAATTGATACGCCTTCGGCGTCAAAGGCGTTCGCTATCTAGGAGACCCCCACCTAATTGTTTTCTTAAAAATACTACGGCACCATACTTACGGTACTATAGTGACAATCGATGCATGGTGTCAAACGTATAAAAACCAATATAAGAAATATATAAAACATTTGTATGTACATAAAAAAATGAAATAGCAGAGGGCAAATCGCAGTGTAATTGAAAATAATCAAACATAATAATAGTACTGTTGCAAAGTTAAGTGTCTTCTCAACAATAGTTAAATATGTAAATTATCACTATATTTAATAGAATGGAATAGAATTTAAAAAGTGGTATAAATATGCATATAGATTATGATATTTCAATTACAGTGTTATATGTGTCTTCTTCCATAACTTAACTTACCAAAGGGACACTTTCATGAAAAGTATCTTAGATACAACAATTTATAAGTATCATAAACGCTAGAGAACTTGACATTTTTTTTAGATATGAAATTATCAAAGTAAAAAAACTTTCAAATACAGTACAGTCGGTTCAAAGTAAAAAGAACTAATGCATAAAAAGTATTTTTTCAATAATAAATAATGAATATATATACAAAGTGAGTCTGTAGACAAAAAACTATAAAAATGGAGTAAGACCTTCCTTGATGTTAACTGAAAAAAAAAAAATTGAGCGATAAGTGAATACTCTATAATAGGTGTGTATACATAAATGTTGGCGTTAGTTACGTTTTACACTATAATCATTCTCAGTGAAAAACGCATCCAAGAAAGACCACGTGGAGGTCGCCAACCCCTTCCTCACATTCAGAAAACATAAAAGTACTTATCGACAATATTTAAAAAAAATATACAGAATGAATATATAAAAACATAAATAATTTATGAAAGACAGAGTGTGGAAGTTTCTTGTAATCATAGCATATTTGTGCTTTTAAGCTTAAAAAATATGTGAAGATAATGTATACAAATGTGAAACATAACATAATCAAAGAAAATATTTTTATCATTATATAAAACGTTTCAGTATGATACGGTTTAAATAAATAAACTATACCAAGATTTTTCTTATAATATTAGGAGAAAAGTGTAATAATAACCAAGCTCTTGGGTACAACAGTACTACACTGGTGTTTGAGCATTCGTTAATTCATTAATCTGCAACCCACTATGAGCAAAATAAACAATATATAGTTTAAGATATTTTACAAAGACATTTATATCATAGAGGAATTTGAGCGTTAAATATTGTAATACATACCAAGTTTTCTTTATTTTATAGGTGGGTTTGATTTGAATATTATCATTAGCACCAACACGTTGAATTCTATTCCATTCCAAAGAATAAAGTGCAATGAAAACATTCAACAGCTCTCTCCCTATATTATTTGGAAAAATTAATCAAATTGAATGTATTTAACATAATTTAAAGACACAAATGAATCATAGTCGAACGAAGGGCAACAGTACTACACTCATGTTCGAGCACTTGTTAATTAATTACTCTGCGAAACACTATGAGCCAAGTAAACAATACAGTTCAAGATATTTTAAAAAAAACACTTGTATCATAATGGAATAAGAGTGTTAAAAATTGTAATCCGTACCAAGATTTCTTTATTTTATAGCTGGGTTTGATTTGAATAATATCAATAGAACCATTAACACACATCTATCACACTAACACTATCTCCCTATATTATTTTAAAAAATAAATCAAATTGAATGAATTTAACATATTTAAAAAACAAATTTATAATTATTTAACATAATTTAAAGATACAATTAAAACATAGTCAAACGATAGACTTAATTAACAAATGTGAACAAAAGAATTATAAAAAGTGTTGCATATAATTTGATTTTTAAATTTTACAACTGTTTGTGATAATAGAAATATCAGTAAAGTCAATCACATTCCTTCTCAATGAAAACATCCCATAGCTCTCCCCTAATATTTTATGGTAAATCAAAAAAAAAATGAATGTAATTAATAAGTTTTAAAAACACATTCAAAGCATATATTGTACAAAGAAAATAATTTACATTAATGCTAAAACATACTGGGTTTACTATTATCCTTATAATATCACATAAGTTTTAATTTATATTCATTTCCTTTCATCCAAGTGTAAAAACTGATACTATAAGACTTATTTATACAAACCGAAAATATAACATTCAACATATATAATTGAAAGAATGAGTTGAAAAATGCATGGCATACCATGTTTTCTTTAGTTTATAGTTGTGTTCGTTTTTATTAGTTAATCATTAGTACCGAAGTAGTAACTGCATTATTCCTTAACAAAGAAAATGTTTAATGAAAACATACAACAGACATCTCCCTATATAATGTAGAAATATAAATCAAATCGCATGTATTTAAAACAAATATATAATAATATAACATGATTTAAAGACACAATATCAATGAAAGCATCCAATAGATATCTTCTAATATTTTCAAGTAAAACATATAAAAATAAATGTGTAATTAATAAATATATTAAAAACACATTTAAAGCATATAGTATGTAGAAGGTAAAAATCACAATTGATTCACAGTCGAACGATGGACTTAATAAACATATGCGTCAACAATAGAATTATAAAAAGTATTGCATATAATTTGATTTTTAATTTTTATAACTGTTTGAAGTAATAAAAAAATGATTTACAAAAAAATACTATAAGACTCATTTACTAAAACAAATATATTATTTTAAAATATAATACATACCATGTTTTTTTTCATTATTTTATAGCTGTGTGTGCATTTTATAATATCATTACAGAATTTCACATCAAATCAATCTGGTAAACAAAATATATTTTATATATTGTATTAATATGTAATATAATATATTACATACATTGCAGGTGTATGTAATGAAAACATCCGATTACTTATATCTCCTCATATTTCTCGGTAAAACAAAAGCTCTGTTCTAATATATTTTGGAAAAACGAATAGTAATTAATGTAAAATGTAATGTAGTACGAAAAAGATAATTTACAAAAAAGGTAGAGAACCAAC